CTGGCATGATTTGGGCCCTTTAATTCATGTGGAACAACGTCTGAATAGCACAACATACCTAAGTATCATTGCTGATCAAGTTCATCCTATCATGTTGGTGGCGTATCCCAATGGAGATGGCTTCTTCCAACAAGACAATGCGCCATGCCACGGTGCTCGTATTGTGCAGGAGTGGTTTCAAGAACATGAGGGAGACTTTACCTTGCTTAGGTGGCCCCCACAATCACCAGATCTCAATCCAATTGAGCATTTGTGGGACGAAGTTAAAAGAGCCATCAGGCAGCTGGTTCCACAACCATCAGATCGCACAGAACTGGACAGTGCTATTCATCAGGCATGATGTCAGATTCCTCGCATCACCTTTCAACATCTCGTGGAGTTAATGCCAAGAAGAATCATCACAGTATTGAAGGCAAAAGGTGGCCCAATGAAGTACTGATGGGGTGGTCATAATAATCTGGCCACTCAGTGTATACCACAGTTTGTTTATCCATCCACTCATTGATGGTCATTTGGGCTGTTTGCACCTTTTGGCTATTGTAAAAGCTGCTAAGGACATGCATAAACATTTACTTATTTTCAGTTCTAACACATGCCTAGATAATTACAGCCACTACCACCCTTACTGGACAATTCCAATGCCCCAAAGAATTCCTTCATGCTATCCCTCTGCAATCAGACCCTTCTCCTCCCCCTAACTTCTGGCAACCACTATCTCTTCTCTGGCTTTGTAGCAGTAAAAAATTTTAGTATCTCAACTATGTCGTCTGGCTTTCCTTAAGAGTATATAATGGAGTCCTCAGGAATTAAATTTTTAGAATTAGAGATAATGTGTTAGGGACTAGAAATACTTTATATGCATTTACTAAAAAAATTCAGTTTTTCTAACTTGCTAGTTATGATAAGAACTAAATTAAAAATACTAGCATACATTTTTGCACTTAACTGGAGAACAAACTATCTTAAAATATTTTATAAATTCAATGTGAAATTACTAGATTAGATAGGTATGCAATTTTTTAGTGAACTGGTTTTTATCCTCACTCTTTTGTTTTATTTGTGTATAAAAGATGCTTTGGGATTTTACAGTTTCTTCCTGCCAAAATCTTCAGTTAAATATGTATTAATATGTTTACATATTAATTTTAAAAGCTTAGAGCAAAGATTGTTCAGTGTTCTGAAAACAGCATGCACAATAAAATAACTGTTTGCTAGGAGGGAAAAAAGCCCTGTTGTCTTCTAGTACCAGTTGGTATTACGTAGGTTTGTTTGGTGTCTCATATCTTATTTATAGTACTTTGGAACTGGAAACTAGATACTAAACAAACACTAATGTTCCACTGTAGCTTAACTATGCATTAGAATCTTTCTTTGTTCATAATTATTTTTACTTGGGTATATACCTCTATGAAATTAGAAACTTCCGAGAAACTGGCAACTTGCTTGAGTCAAGTTCATTTCTTTATTTCTTGATACAGAAGCAGTATGTAGCACATCTAACAGTATTCATTTGAGTACTCATTTGTTACAATAAGTAACATTTGAGTACTCATAAGTTACACATTAATAGATGATAGTTAATGATCCTCAGTAGTTACTGAGAGAGAGCTTGAAGAAAATTATCAATATTGTCTGACTTGCTGTAGAAGCTTCCCAGTCTCCTTTCAAGCAGAGAGCTTTTGTTGGAAGGAATCTCAAATCCAATACTGTGTTTCTTAAAATATTTCAGACATACTAAATATTCTAGACCTCCAAAATTAAAGTCACATTTCTAGATAATTTTAATTGTGTGTATATTCTTTTCTTAAAATTTAACCATTGTCTAACCTTGCTTATTACCTCCTTCAATATGCAGACCTATGATGAATCTAGGTGGCTTTGTTTTATACTGGGAGTGACCTTTATTAGTTGGTCTGATTACTCCTTCATAGTGACAGAGCCTTTATGAATGAATTCTCCAAAATCTTACAGGAAATAATAGAAACGGATGAAATAAAAAAAATTATGCATCAGGTGTGTGGCTTTCAAAAATTGATCTTAAAGTTAGAGCTCTTAAAAATCTACAACTGCCCTGGCCGGCTTGGCTCAGTGGATAGAGCGTAGGCCTGAGGATTGAAGGGTCCTGGGTTTGATTCCGCTCAACGGCACATTGCCTGGGTTGCAGGCCCTATCCCCAGTAGGGGGTGTGTAAGAGGCAGCTGATCAATGATTCTCTCTCATCATTGATGTTTCTATCTCTCTTTCCCTCTTCCTTCCTCTCTGAAATCAATAAAAATATATTTAAAAAAATAAACAACCGAAGACTTCTTTAATGTGACTCTTTTAGAGATAACATAAAAGGTGGTATTTGATATGCTGCCTTTACCTTATTTAGAAAATAAAGACTGTTTTGACTTTTGTTTTAAAAATGCATAGGAGTTGTATTAGTTCTTTATATATTTTGGAAATTAACCCCTTTATCTGATGTATCATTGGCAAATACGTTCTCCAATACAGTAGGTTTTCTTTGCATTTTGAGTATGCTTTCCTTTGCTGTGCAGAATCTTTTTAGTTTGATGTAGTCTCATTTGTTTATTTTTTCCTTTCTTGCTCTTGTCCTAGGAGATGTATCTGTGAAAATTCTGCTGCGTGAGATATATAAGCTTTGGCTGCCTATGTTTTCTTCTAAGATTTTTATGGTTTCACAACTTACAATTAAGTTTTTTTATACATTTTTAGTTTATTCTTGTATGTGGTATAAATTGGTAACCTAGTTTTATTTTCTTGTATGTACTTGTCCAATTTTCCCAACACCATTTATTGTCAAATATTTGATTGAGCGTAATGGCTTGGGTTGATTTCTGGGTTCCCTTGTTCTGTTCCTTTGATATATGCCTGTTCTTATGTCAGTACCAAGCTGTTTTTGATTACAGTAGCTTTATAGTATAATTTGGTATCTGGTATTGTGATTCCTTCAACTTTGTTTTTCTTTGTTGTGGCTATTTGGGGTCTTTTTTTGGTTCCATATAAATTTTTGGAGTATTTGTTTTAGATCTGTGAAATATGCCATTGGTATTTTATTTTATTATTTTTAAAAAATATATTTTTATTAATTTCAGAGAGGAAGGGAGAAGGAGGATAGAAACATCAGTGATGAGAGAGCATCATTGATTGGCTGCCTCCTGTATGCCCCATATTAGGGATCGAGCCGGGCAAGTGCCCTGATTTGGAATCGAACCATGACCTCCTGGTTCATAGGTCAATGCTCAACCACTGTGCCAGGCAGCCAGGCTTTTGTTTTTGTATTTTAAATAAATTCTCTGGAAGTTTAAAAATAATTTTTCAATATGTATAACCAAATTGAACAACTTGGATACTGGTTCTCAGTTGTTCAATTCATTTTAACATTCTTTCAGTGTTCCACTGAAGTTTCTTAAGTTCTTAGGTATACAGAATTAATGTCAGAAAGTTTAAAGCCACATAGGCCAGATATAGAATTCAATTAGGTGTATGTGTTATTGAAAAACACTGAATATGATAGCAGATATGCTATATGATATGTTATGTTCTCAGGGCATATAAATTTGTTCCTGCATTGGTTTCATTTCACCAGGAATTCATGTTACAGGTGATTAATCCCCTTCTCTGAAATATTGTATGTAAAATTTCACTTTTTGCATATGATTTTATACATGCTAGATTATGAGATCAATATAAATGGATTTGGGGGATCTCTAATGAACATTGGTAATAATTTTTCTTTATTTTATAACATTTCATATAAATCATCTAATTTGATTAAATGATAGTAATCCTACAGCCCAATAGCTGACTATGCTTGTCATTGAAATGTAAAAGACCGTCATTAGGATTTTATTACTATTCTGGGTATAATTGAATTTAGTATG